ATTCCTGCTAGGAAGCCTTCAAACAACCATGTTATTACGACACAGGCTAATGTTAGTCTCTCTTTTTGATGCTCGTCCTTGCTGTACACCACAATGCTTACATTTTGCTTGCAGGGAAGAGATAAACCAAGGCCTAGTACCCGTGAAGATCACCAGATTGTTGGTGTTGAAATCACCAGGTCGTATTAGTAACTCTCAGCATGCTTAGATCATGCCTCTCTTCAACCAAAGGAGGATGCACTGCACTTCACAACTCGGCTGGCATCTAGAGATGTATTTTGAGTTTGATCTCTATACATAGTTTTCCTGTTACGGTCATTCCCCTTTTCAGAAAATACCCAAATGTGAATAGAGCTAGAAATACCAAACAGCTAAAGACAAATGACTCCACACCTTATGATCTGGGCATTCTCTTAACCTGAGGCAAGTAATTTTCCATTTTTCATTTCACTGAGAAAAAATGAAGAAATTATTATAGATCAATCCAATCTATTTTTTTTCAGAGACCTAAAGTTTGCACACTATAGTAGAGAAACAGTGTTATTTGTGGGTTTTTTCAGTGTATCAAAAATTTTTATTTTAGCTCTTCTGTGAAATGTTGAACCATACAGTCTTTCCCTCACAAGAAGGTCAAATGATGTCCCGGGGGTTAATATTTATCATTGCTACAGCAATAACAGCAATTATAGAAATGACTGATATATGACATTTATTTAGTTCAAATTTGTAAAATAACATTTTGTAGTGTCAACTCCATATAAGCATCTGCAGTGTGAAAGTTAACATTGCCACCATTATGAGGATTTGAGTCGATCGTGAGTTGGTCACAAGCTATTATACATAAGTCTGGCTTTCTAATACATCTGTTCAATTCCATTATCTCAAGTATTTGTGTAGGCTTGATATTTGCATTGCAAAAATCTGACCCAGCAACTAGATCATCACTGACGTGATGATGCATGAGCTTATAGATCGTTTTGCTAGAGTGAAAGCTCTACAAAGCTCATTGCAAGAAAACCCTTTGCCTCAACATAAAACTGGAAATCCAAGAACTCAAAATTTAAGAAATACCAACATTAAAGATGTCCATGGTTGGCCCCTTTATACATTACAATGTAGGTCTTAAAAATTAGTAATAAAGTATGCCCATTTCCACCATCTCTCTGCCAGTGAAACACTTCTCCATTAAATAACAGATGTAATTATTTGTGAGAAATCACTACTTAAAGTTTGTATGGATTTATGCAGAAGATATGGGGGGAGGGGAGTGTACTCAATTCCAAATGTTGATTTCACTGACAAAAAAAGTTTTAACTATGTGATTTCAAAACAACAATGTTCTTCTACATTGAGAATATTACCTGAATGGATCACTGAAACATCTGCTCCAAACTCTTAATGTACTGTAGGTTATTGGTCACCAGGCAAGACTTACTCTTCTAAACTAGACACACAGACAAAAGTTGCTCATTCCCAAGGCGACTGAATGGTGAACCACATGCAGAGAACGGGAGACCATGGTAACCTTGATGCCTGAACGCCTGCAAGAGCAGGGAATCTGTAGGGCACTTTTAGAAAGTTCTGTACATACTAAAAGCTCCTATCCTAGAAAAATCTGTACAAGAGATTACCTATATATGATCAAGCAGCAGGTGTCTGTACCACTTTTGTGTGTAATTTCATCTGAGGGCTATGTCTCTTAATCAACCCATTTTCTTGTTACCAAGATATATTTCCTATTTTCTACTGTGTGTGCAATAAGCTGTACTTCACACGATAGTGATTTCCTATAGAATACTTTCATTTAGTTCAGATTACTTAAGATTTTCTTGACTTTCTGTACTTGAAAACATTTCAAAACAAAAAGGAAATATGGAAGCAGCAATGCAGTATCACAGGCTCATATAACCACAGCCA